TCTTCCGCCTCCTGCTCCTCCGCCTCCTCTGTCTCCTCTTCCTCATCCGCCTCCTCCTCCTCCTCCTCCTGCTTCTCATCCTCATGCTCCTCCTCTTCCTCCTCCTCCTCCTCCTCCTCCTCCTCCTCTTCCTATGCGTTAGGGGTGTGCCGAAACCAGCGTGACGCCCATGTGCGAACGTTCCCCTCGGGGCCTTCGGTGGAGCCCCCATCGGGACACGAAACGCGTGAGTGGTGGGTGTGCCGAAACGTTCGTGACGCCCCACATGGGAACACTTCAGATGGAGCCTTCTGTAGAGCTCCCTGTGGCAACGAAACGTGTGAGGGGTGTCCCGAAACGGGCGTGACGCCCACATGCGAAAGCTCCCTTTGGGGCCTTCGGTGGAGCTCCCTATGGGGCCACGAGACGCTTGAGGGGTGTGCCGAAGTGGTTGACATGCGGAGGGCAGAGGCAGGGATAGGAGAAGGGAGGAGGAGGGAGGAGGAGGAGGAGTGAGGAACGCGGCGCACTGTCTCCTCAAAACGAGGACCCAACACCACAGGATGGTTTGGGAATAAAGCACGACTGACAGCCTTCGTCTCTCCGTCTTGTGGCGGTGCTGCAGGCGCGATCCACAGCGCTGAAGCGGTTCAAATAAGTATGAACCCTCTACTGCAACGAAAGAAGGCGGCACAGCACTCATAACACCGAATGAGTTCGGCAGGAGTGCGCCTGTCGGACTCTGGGGAAACGTCACGAAGCAACTGCAGGGAACGAGCATGGCCCCGACGGGCATGACCCTGGGGACTCGTGCCGACGAAGCGAGGAGTGAGACGAAGACGCCGACGACGGCGAAGACGACGACGCTGAAAACAACGTAAAAAACGACGAAAACGATGACAAAACGGCAACAACAACGCCGACGAACACGACAACGACGACGACGACGACGACGACGTCGACGTCGACGGCGACAACGACGACGACGACGACGACGACGACGACGACGACGAAGACAACGACGGCAACGACGACTGAACGACGACGAAAACAACAACGACGACGACGGCGACGACGAAAATGACGACGAAGACGATGGCGGCGGCGGCGCCGTCGCCTGCGACGCGAGCAGCTTCGCGAGGCGCTGCTCGGCGTCCAGCGGCGCGCAAGCCGCCGGCATCGCCACCCGCCAGGAGGGCGGTTCGCGAGGGCGGGAGGCAGGCGGCCCGCGGGCGCGGCGGGGCCTCGAGGGGCCTCCACGGGACGCTCTCCTCCTCCTCCTCCTCCTCCTCCTCCTCCTCCTCCTCCTCCTCCTCCTCCTCTCCTCCTCCTCCTCCTCCTCCTCCTCCTCCTCCTCCTCCTCCTCCTCCTCCTCCTCCTCCTCCTCCTCCTCCTCCTCCTCCCTCCTCCTCCTCCTCCTCCTCCTCCTCCTCCTCCTCCTCCTCCTCCTCCTCCTCCTCCTCCTCCTCCTCCTCCTCCTCCTCCTCCTCCTCCTCCTCCTCCTCCTCCTCCTCCTCCTCCTCCCGCTTCTCCCCACTGGCCCCTCATCCTCCCCTCCCGCTGCTTCTGGCGCTGGGGGCGAAGGCGATTTTCGCCCACGACGGGGAAGACCAGGGCCGCCGCTTGCGTCTGGCCCGTGGAACGCCGTGGCCGCCTACGGACCTGCGTCGCCGCGTCACCCAGCCCTGCGCCAGAAGGACAGTGCGGCACCGTCGCGGAGGTTCGCCTCGAAGGTCCTCTCCAGGTCCTCGCCCGACAGGCTGCCGAGGCTGACTTGGTTGATGCTGACAATGAGGTCGCCGGCCACGAGGTTGTACTGCCCCGTCGCCTGGAGCACCCGCACGCCACGGCTCCTCGGCGAAGCCCTCCGCTCGAGTCCGGCGCCGAGGTCCGGGCGCACGCGCACGGTGCTCGTCAGCAGCCTCCTCTTCTCGCCCGCCCGCCGGCCAGCGCTGGCGCGGCCGTGCACGGGGCCTGGCGCGGGCGCGGAGGCCACAGAGCCGGCGCCGCCCTCGGGCGCGGCGGCAGCTCCGCGGCAGTTCCACGCGAGCAGCCTCCGCAGCTCCTCCCGCGCGCCAGCCCTCTGCGGCTCGTCCAGGTCGGCCGCCCAGGTCACCACCACCTGAGCGAGAACAAGTGGGTCTCACGCGAGAGATGGCACGTCGACCTTGAGGCGCGGCTGACGCGGCCCGCGAGCGCGCCACACCACATTGGAAACGAGGGCGCTTACGCGCGACCTTGCGCGGGCAGCTTACGCGCCAAAGTCGGTGAAGATGACCCCGCTGCTCTGCGTGGCTCACCTCGGCCCTGGTCGGCACCGCCGCGGACTTGTGGGTCAGCGTGAACTGCCGCAGGTCCGCGCGCAGCTGGGCCAGGTCGGCGGGCTCCCCAGCGAGGCGGAAGCGCTCCTCCGCCTCGCACGCCGCCGCGCTGCCCTTTCGGACCTGCAGCAGCTTGGCCAAGGGCCCCGAGTCCTCCCGCACCCAGGCGTGCCTTGAGCACGCCTCGAGGGCGAGGCGGTCCTCGGGCCTCACCTGTATCAGGCCGAGGGCGAGCTCCCTGGCCTGGCGGCTGCAGCCCCGCGCGAACTGGATCAACGAGGCCTTGGCCTTGTCGAGGGCGTCGCTCTCGAAGGGGTAGGTCCCCTCCAGCATGACGTACAGCACGACTCCGAGGCTCCACAGGTCCACCCTCTCGTCGTAGCCGTGTCCGCGCCTGCTGGGGTCCCTGACCTCGGGCAGGGCAGAACGTGCGCCAGATCGGCCTGCATCTGCACGGAGTCGAGGTCGAATCGGATCGGGCGCGCCAGGATGCACAGCAGCGCCGCGCGAGCATCGGGCCGCGTCGGACCGTCGGGATGTCGGAGTCGAATCGGATCGGGCCAGCCGGGATCGACATCGGATCGGGTCGAGATGGGCCGTGCCTCGGGCGCCCAGTACTGCGGCGTGCCCACCTGCGTGACGGCCACCGCCCAGCCGTCGTCGATCAGCTTGGAGTGCCCAAAGTCCGAGACCTTCACGTGCGGGCGGCCCTCGCAGCTGCTGGCCCTATCCACGAGGATGTTGTCGGGCTTGAGATCGCGGTGCACCACTCCTTTGGAGTGGATGCTCGGGTGCGCCGAAGAGGGGGGCCAGGAAGAGGGGGGGGCGCGCATCATGTCCCGAGGCTTAGGTCGGGCATGCCCTCCTACAGGCGGATTTTGGACGAAAAATAAAAATAGACAAACAATACTCCAAAATTGTCAAAAATAGTCGAAAACTCGGACCCAGCCTATTTTTTTGACTACTTTCGAACATTCCTCCTGCAGAGGGACACGCCCGACTCAACCCGAGGCACATGCGCGGGCGAGGGGGGGATCTGGTGCCGCGCTGCCAGAAGAACTGGGGGCCATGGCGCCCGATAGACTCCACGGCCCCAGCCAGGACACCCACACACTGCGAGCACCTCCCCTAGGGGGCCACACGCGAACCCTACCCCTACCCCCCACGATTTCTGAGGGGGAGGGTGGGTTCACTTCGTCTGGGAGCTCCCGAGCGAAGTGAACCCCACCCTCCCTCTCGGAAATCGTGGGGGGCAGGGGCAGGGTTCGCACGTGGCCCCCTTCTCCCCGCCCTCCTGGGCGCCCCCGAGATGTACTGCAGGGCCTCGACGAGCTGGAGGAACACGTACCGCGCCTCCGGCTCGCCCAGCCTCCGAGGCAGCCGGCGGCCCGAGGCACAGTCGGGGCGGCCGGCCCTCCGCCGCCCTGGGCCTGGCGGGGGCCCTTCCGGGGGCCGCGGGAGCATCGAGAGAGTGCCTGGGACGAGAAGAGGCAGCGCGCGCAAGGGGTCCGGGGGGGGGGGAGCGGGGAAGGCTTCTCAGGAGCCTTCCCCCCTCCCCCTGCCCCGCCTCTGCGCGTGGCGGAAGGCTGGCCCCAGGAAGGGGCCGAGAGACTGGGGGGTCTCGAGAAGATCAGGCCGCTGGATGTCTGAGCCTCCTATGTCTGGCGATGTGCTCGAAGAGGTCGCCGCCCTCTACCAGCTCCATCACCAAGTACAGGCAGTCGGGTGTCTCCACGACGTCGAAAAGCCTCACAATGTTCGGGTGCTGAAGCGAGAACAGGATGTCCGCTTCGCGGCGGAGTCTCTCCAGCATGCTTGCCAGGTCGGGCCTCATCCGCAGCTTCGTGAGCGAGATAGCCTTGGCGGCCCGGTGAGGCGAGTCTGGGGTGTGCCGGCAACGGCAGCGGTAAACGGTGGCGGTGACGCCCTTGCCCAGCTCCTCCAGCACGTCGTATGTCAGGTCTGGGTGGTCGTGGCGCTGCGAGCGGGCCACCACACCTGGGAGGTCGGCCGGCCCAGCTGTGGGTTCTGCCGCAGCGCCCGCCGCTCCAGCCTGCAGAGTGTCTCAACTTTACTCGCGGCAACGCCCGTTGCTCCCACAATGACTTTTGGCCGCTTGGGGCTCCCTTGGAAAACTTCTCGGGGCGTCGTAGCGGCCTCTTGGGCTCTACGGGAGCCATCTTGGGTGTCCAAGGGCGGCCTTTGAAAGCCCTGGGGCCGTCTTGGACCGATTTGGGAGCCTCTTGGGGCTCCGCGGATACGTCTTGGCCGCCTCTTGAGCACGCCTTGGCCGCCTCTGGGGCTGTCTTGGGCTCCTCTTGGGCCGTGTTGGGAGCCTCTTGGGCCGTCTTAGGGCCGTCGTGGGGGCCTCTTGTACCCTCGTGCACGCCGTGAAGACCGAAAAGACGTAGAAGCTAAAAATGCAAGTTTTCCCATGCAAAATCAATGATGTTGGCCGTTTGGGGTTCTTTTGGAAAGCATCTTGATGGGGCGTTGTAGCGGTTTCTTGGGCTCAGTGGGAGCCGTCTTGAGCGTCCAGGGGCGATCTTTGAGCGCCGTGGGGCCGTCTAGGACCGGTTTGGGGGCCACTTGCGCCTCCCTGGGCAAGTCTTGGCCGCCTCTTGGCCTGGACAGGAGCGCTCCCGGAGCCCCGGAGCGGCCATGGGGGGCGCAGATACCGGCCTGGCAGCCCCGATCCCCTTCCGCCGGCACATATATATATATATATATATATATATATATATATATATATATATATATATATATATATGGTCGCCCCCCCCCCTGTGATCATACATCTCCGTCTTCCGTGTTCGCTCTCTCCCTCTCTCCTTCTCTCTCGCTCTATCCCTCTCTCTCTCTCTCGTTTTGTTGTTCTCTCTTTGCGTTTGTCTCTCGCGCTCTCTGTGATTGCCTGTGATTATGTTTTCCAGCTGTTCCAGCTTTTCCCAGAGACTACCCTGGTGAAAAACATTGTGTTTTCCAGCTTTTCCAGCTTTTCCCAGAGACTACCCTGGTGAAAAACATTGTGTTTTCCAGCTTTTCCAGCTTTTCCAGCTTTTCCCAGAGACTACCCTGGTGAAAAAGCATGTGTTTTCCAGCTTTTCCAGCTTTTCCAGCTTTTCCCAAAGACTACCCTGGTGAAAAACGCTGTGTTTTCCAGCTTTTCCAGCTTTTCCAGCTTTCCCCAGAGACTACCCTGGTGAAGAACCATGTGTTTTCCAGCTTTTCCAGCTTTTCCAGCTTTTCCCAGAGACTACCCTGGTGAAAAACCTTGTGTTTTCCAGCTTTCCAGCTTTTCCAGCTTTTCCCAGAAACTACCCTTGTGAAAAACCATGTGTTTTCCAGCTTTTCCAGCTTTTCCAGCTTTTCCCAGAGACTACCCTGGTGAAAAACGTTGTGTTTTCCAGCTTTTCCAGCTTTCCCAGCTTTTCCCAGAGACTACCCTGGTGAAAAACCTTGTGTTTTCCAGCTTTTCCAGCTTTTCCAGCTTTTTCCAAAGACTGCCCTGGTGAAAACGCTGTGTTTTCCAGCTTTTCCAGCTTTTCCAGCTTTTCCCAGAGACTACCCTGATGAAAAACCTTGTGTTTTCCAGCTTTTCCAGCTTTTCCAGCTCTTCCGCCAATTCGTCACCAAGGTAGTCTCTGGGAAAAGCTGGAAAAGCTGGAAAAGCTGGAAAACACATGGTTGTTCACCAGGGTAGTCTCTGGGAAAAGCTGGGAAAGCTGGAAAAGCTGGAAAACACAAGGTTTTTCACCAGGGTAGTCTCTGGGAAAAGCTGGACAAGCTGGAAAAGCTGGAAAACACATGGTTTTTCACCCGAGTAGTCTCTGGGAAAAACTGGAAAAGCTGGAAAAGCTGGAAAACACATGGTTGTTCACCAGGGTAGTCTCTGGGAAAAGCTGGAAAAGCTGGAAAAGCTGGAAAACACAAGGTTTTTCACCAGGGTAGTCTCTGGGAAAAGCTGGAAAAGCTGGAAAAGCTGGAAAACACATGGTTTTTCACCAGGGTAGTCTCTGGGATAAGCTGGAAAAGCTGTAAAAGCTGGAAACACACAATGGTTTTCACCAGGGTAATATCTCTGGGAGTAGCTGGAAAAGCTGGAAAAGCTGGAAAAGCTGGAAACACACAATGTTTTCGCTAAGGATACCTCTGGGGGTAGCTGGAGCAGCTGGAAGCTTGACAGATCTCCGTGGGTTGCCTCCTTTGTGCGGCTTTCCAATAGAATCCCTTTGTGGTGCTTTCCAAAGGATTCCTTGTGTGAGGCTTTCCAATAGGATTCCTTTGTGGTGCTTTCCAAAGGATTCCTTTTGTGAAGCTTTCCAATCGGATTCCTTTGTGATGCTTTCCAAAGGATTCCTTTTGTGAGGCTTTCCCATAGAATCCCTTTGTGTGCTTTCCAAAGGATTCCTTTTGTGAGGCTTACCAATAGAATCCCTGTGTGTGCTTTCCAAAGGATTCCTTTTGTGAGGCTTTCCAATAGAATCCCTCTGTGGTGTTTTCCAAAGGATTCCTTTTGTGAGGCTTTCCAATCGAATCCCCTTGTGATGCAGAGGAGGAGGCGGAGAGAGAAGGATGAAAAAGATTCAAGACGAGATGTATGATCTTGAGGAGGAGGGAGAGAAGGAGGAGGAAGAGGAGGAGGAGGAGGAAAAGGAGGAGGAGGAAGAGGAGGAAAGGAGGAGGAGGAGGAGGAGGACAGGGATGAGAGAGGAGGACGAGGAGGAGGAGGACGAGGATGTGGAGAAGGATGATTAGGATGAGGAGAAAGAAGGCCACATGTATGATCACAGGGGGGGCGAGCATACATATATATATATATATATATATATATATACATACATACATAGATAGATAGATAGATAGATAGATATATAAATAGCTAGATGTGTGTGTGTATGTAGATGTATGTGTGCATATGTGTATATATACATAAAAACACATAACCATAAACAAATACATATATATATATATATATATATATATATACGCATATACATATGTACATATACATATACATGTACATATACATATACATATACATATACACATACATATACATAAACATATACCTATACATATACATATGCATATACATATACATATACATATACATATGCATATGCATATGCATATACATATATGTATATACATAGTCATATTCCTATACTTATACATATACATATACAGATGCATCTACATTTACATGTGCATGTGCATATACATGTACACCTACCTATACATATACATATACATATACGTATGCCTATGCATGTACAAATATGTATGTATACATGTACAGTTACATATACATATACATGTACATGTACATACACATATACATAAACATATACGTATACATATACATATATATACGTGCACTTATACATAGACATGTACAGATACATATACATATACATATACATATACATAGACATGTACCTATACATTTACATATACCTAAACATACACATATACATATACATATGCGTATACCTATATGCACATATGCATATACATACATGCATATATGCATGCATACGTACATATATACATACATACATATACACATACATAGATATATACACGTATACGCATACGTGGACGTATACATATACATCTACATGTACACACACACATGTACGTGCACATGAATATCTACAAACACCTCGATGCACCTCTACATAGACATAGATGTGCCTATACGCATCTACACATATGTAGATAAACATGTATATACATATGCATTTTCATATATACATATGTGTATATATATACATATATTCATAGTCGAATAGAAATGTCTACGGTCTGAACACAAGCAACACATTCAAGTATATGAATATACATAAAAATACACGCACATACACAATTACGTACCGAAACATGCACATACAGAGGCATGTACCTAAACGTACAAACATACACATATGCACACACAAGTTACATATATATGTATATACATACACGTACGCATACATATTCACACACGCATGCTTACATATACATATATATACATACATATATACAAACATACATACATACATACATACATACATACATACATACATACAAGTGGCACGTGTGTGCCCAGGCTCATACCAAAAAAGCTGAAAGGGCGTTTGAAGCAGGAAGACAGCGTGACGGCGGGATCGCAGATGGAGAAGGGGAAGCTGGGGCGGCGCCGCCAGGGCGTGCCTAAGAGAAGGGGAAAAGGCAGGAGGTGAGCGCAGAAAGGATTGGGGATCGAGAGGGCAATGCCTCTCCGAGGTCAGCGTTGCGAGGATGTCTCAGCATGCCCCACCAGCCGATTTGTTTCACCAGACAAATTGTGGAGGGAAAGAGAAGGAGGAGGAGAGGAGGATAGCTGCTGGGAGTGAAAGGCAATAGCGAGGTCGCACTCGAGCGCAACTGGGGTTGCCACACCTTGCGATGTGTGTACCAGGGCCCCACAGGAAGTCTCAGGAGGCCCGACTTGGATACCGGAAAAAGCTCCAGGAGGCCCCAGGATTGTGAGTGTTATGTGGGTGTGTGTGTGATGTGTGCTATGTGTTGTGCGTGTTTTCTGTGCGTTGTAGGTGTTGTGTGTTATAGTTGTCTAGCGTGTGATGTGCTGGGTGTGATTTGTATCTCTGTGTGTGCATGTAGTTCTGAGCCCCAGGAGGCCTCAGGAGGCCCCAGGCGGGCTCAGGAGGCCCCAGGAGACCCCGGGAGGCTCCAGGAGGCCCCAAGAAGCTCCAGGAGGCCCCAGGAGGCCCCCGGAGGCCCCAGGAGGTTCCAGGAGACCCCCAGGAGGCTCCGAGGTGGGGTCTGGGGTACCAGAAGGCACAGAAAACCCCAGGAAGCCCCAGGAGGTTCCAGGAGGCCCCCAGGAGGCTCTGCGGCAGGGTCTGGGGTACCAAAAGGTGCGTCGGGGCTCGATTTTGGGAGGATGTCTCAGGCAAAACAGCCATTCTCTGAGAATCGGAGCCAAAATTATTGAAATTACAATGTGTTTTTGAAGGTTTCATGTTAAATTTTGAAATTCCAATGTGTTTTTGGATCCTGGCGTCACGATCTGTGTGAGGTGTGCCACCGATTTTCAAAAATTTTGAGGATGTCCCTAGCGAAACGGCCAGAGAAAGCGCGAACGACGCGGCGCGTACGCATTAATCGCCTCTGAGCTCTACTCCTTCGGAGAAGTGCTTATGACAATGTATGTTTATATGCATAGACATATACATGTATATACACATATACATGAACAATACGTGCATCCGCCGCCGTGCCGCTGGGCATGGAGTATGCGTGTCCTTAAGTCCTGGCCCGAATCCCTTAAGAGCTCTTGAAAGTTCTGTAAAGGGCCTGGACCCAAAATTCCCACATCCTTTGGGGTTTCCCACGTGCCCCCCTGGGCATCTCGCGTCTTCTCGCGTGACTCCCCAAGACGTCCAAGAGGGCGCCGAGTCGCCGAACGATGGGCGCAAGATGCCCAGGACGGTCCGAAGACAGCACAAGAGGCCTCTAAGACGGACCAAGAGACAAGAATCGCTGATGTCCCTCAAGTGGTGTTTGCAGAATTTGAGCGTTCTCGCCTTTCCTGGTTTCCGACGTTCGAAGACTGCCCAAGACGCCCGCGAGGCCACCCCAAGAGCCCAGGGGCCTCCAAGAGGGTCCAAGACGACCTAAGAGCGCCCCAAGACGGCCCAAGAGGCGCCCAAGACAGCCCCAAAGGCCCCAAGACGGCCTCAAAAGGGACCCAAGAAAGAGAACACGAACCGAAAATCCGGGCCTTCCGCCCCAAGGAGGCCCCCAAGAGGCCCCAAGAGGCACCCAAGACGCCCCAAGCGGCCCCCAAGAGTCGCCCGAGAGGCCCCCGAGAGGCCGCCAAGAGGCCCAAGAGGCTCCAAGAGGCCCCAAAACGGCCCCCCCGAGAGGAAACCCACGAGATCCCAACGAACATCCAATACATTTCATAACCACAACCCAAGCACGGTGGCGAGATGGCCCGAAGGCCATAAGATCCGCCGCCCCCTGCTTGCAGGGGTGCACGGCGTGCTGGATGTTTCAGGTTTTGGTTTTGGTTCTTTTTCCAAAAGAACTCCCCCAGTGGGCTCCGGCACGTCCCGCCGGGGTCCCGGGAGGAAGCCGAAAGGACCTCAATCCGGAAAAAAATCCTCCAAAAAACGGCCGTTTCGCTCGGGACGTCCTCAAAAAAATCGCGAAGATGGCCCAAGATGGCCTCCAAGTCCGCCCGAGCTGGTCCAAGACGGCCTCCAAAACGGCCCAAGAGAGTCCAAGACGGCCCAAGACGGCCCAAGAGGCCCCCCAGAGGCCTCCCAGACGGCCCAAGAGGCCTCCAAGAGGTCCTCCAGGAGAGTCCGAAGAGGCCAAAATCATTGATTTTTCCTTGGTTTTTGAAGGATTCTGGCATTTGCGCCTTTTCGGCTCTCCGACGGCTCGAGACGGCCCAAGAAGCCCCCAAGATCGCCCAAGAGGCCCCCAAGAGAGCCCCATGATGGCCCAAGTGGCCTCCAAGATGGCCCCTAGAGGGCCCCAAGAGGGCCCAAGAGGCCTCCAACACGCCCAAGATGGCCTCCCAGACGCCCAAGATGGCCTCCAAGACGGCCCTGGAGCATTCCAAGCGGGCCCCAAGTCGGCCCATAGAGGCCCCCCAAACGGCTTCCGACGGCTTCAGACGTGCCAGGAACCCACCAAGATGGCCGAAGTTGGCTCGAAGCTGGCCCGAGACGGCCCAAAAAGCCCCAAAGATCGCCCAAAGCTTGCCCAAGAGGCCTCCAAGACGGCCAAGATGACCTTCAAGATGCCCACGTGTTCCCCGAAGGCTTTCCAAACCGATTCGGGGAACACGTGGTCCGATAGCTTGGCAGGTCTGGCCTCAACGTTCGGCCACATAGGCGCTTCCAAAAAGGCAGGGGGCGGCGGTGATTCGCCGTAGGCGTCTTCGATCCGAAGCCCCCTGTTAGCTTGCCACAGTGGTGCTTCGCGTGCCAGATAGAATTTCCCCTGGGACTTCGGCCCAACGCGCCGGCCACCAGGAAAATGTACATGTCAATGCCTCTCTCGCCCGAGATGGCCCTAAATTGATGCCCAGTCTTCTTCTTCAGTGGTGAAGTCTGATACCTCATGGTCGTGACCAGGGGGTTCGAGGCACGCACTGGCAGGGTTCATCGTCCACATAAGTGGAACACCAAAAACAGGTGCAGGAAAAGGCGCGCACGACGCACGCCAGGTCCAGGGCGGCCGTGGGCAGGAAAGCTTGAGCCCCAGCAGCGTCCGAATAGGGCTGCTGGTGGGCGGCAACAAAGCAAGGCAACCTGGAAAATCACGGAGGCAGCAGCACATTCTCTCATCACAGATTCAACAACGATTTGCACAGCCACGGTGGCACTCGAGAGGAATAATTAGCAGTCCGCGCAGTCATCGCCTTTCCTTCGAGAACGACGTGCTTATGCCCAGGCCTGAAGGAACAGTAACCGCGCTACCCATAAAATGTCAAGCGGCCCTGGTGTAAGAACGTCAGGTTTCCAGATTCGACCACACAGCCAAAAACAATTCGGGTCGCTTTCCTCCACCTCGCTCCAAATGAACACCGATGCAAATCGGTCAGTCACAGTAAGGCAGCCAATAAGACACCAGATCTCGGCATCGCCACATATACGAGGCCAACGGACTCTCGAAGGCAAAAGGCACCCTATACTTGCGACACAGTCTCGCAATGAAGACAGCCACCCTCATGCACAGATTTCCAGCGCGCACCGCCCCCCTGCATCTGGCCCGCAATTGCGGAAGCCCCTCGGCTTGAAAAGCAATCCTGACCGGATAACGGACCCGAGCCAACAAAAAAAGGACGAACAAGGAGGCGCCAACATCACCGCTCTTACCAGACCAAGGTTGAAGTGTCGCTCAATCATCTTGAAGTTGAAGGAGCCGCAATCGTCTCGGCCTGGCCCTCTTCTCAGGACAACGCACACGGCATCGCACCCCAACCTTCTTGCAAAGCCGCCTACCCCGCCACTGCCACAAATACAAGACGGGGTCTTTTGCCGCAGCAAGGCACGACTCACAGGCCCCCGCGAGAGCCATCTCGGCGAACGCAAGGCGGCGTCAGCGCGGAGCGGCCCAGCAATTGCACATCCCGCAGCTGCCTCGCGGCCGCCCCATAATGAGCCTTTGTCGCCCCCCGCAGCCATTCCCAACTCTCGCTCATCTTTCCTGACTACTCGCATCTCTGCACCGACGCCAGCGCGGCCCGACTTGCCCGCCGCGGGAAGCTGGAGCCCAGAAGGGGCCCGGGAAGCGTGGATCATCCGAGGGCGCCGTTCCATGCCGCACGGAGTCGCATCGCCCGCCGATATCACTTTTCCCCGGGCCACCCTCACTTCTGGAAACAGCCATACGACCAAGTTCTGAACAGCGCGTTCGGCTGGAACCAGAAGAGCAGTGCTGGTTCAACCCAGCATCTCCACAGGAAGAAGCAAGCACCCCACCATGAGTAAAATCATCGCTCCTGCCAACGGCCCTCCTAGGCGGCAGAGCCCCACAACCGTAGCAGCCCAGATCGCGAACGCCAAGGGCTTCCGAGAGCGAGATGGTGACAGCTTCGCCCCTCCTTTCAGGCACCCCAGCGATCGGGGCAGATGCAGCCCGCCCAGGCGGCCGTAGTCAGGGCGGAAGAACATCAGCCCAGCACGCAACGCTTCCCCGCGCCAGGCCGCCAGGCCTTGACCCCCTGCAGGAACTCACCGCTCGCGCAATCCACCAGGCGCGCATCCAGCGAGCAGCGGGCCCAGACGCAGAATGCGAGCACGCACTGGCGGCAGGTCTCGAGCGCGGCTGCGCCCACGGAGCGCCACTCGAGATCGCTGATACCCAGCTCCCCCTCCTCCGCGACAGCAGCGGCGCACTCCCTGGCGTCGAGCGCTTTCCTGACCCGGGCCCTGCCCGGAGTCGCGAGGCGCCACCAGCGGCTGGCAGCTGCGGCGGGCTCCTCCACGACGCCGCCGCCCTCGCTCTGGCTCACCGCCACGCCCGCGTCAGCCGGAGCTTCGCGGCGACCCGCTTCCAAGCAGTTCTCCACCGCTCCCAAGTGCGGAACCAGCGCTGACCTCGGCATTACCAGCCTGGCTGCAAGCCCACGGCTACGATCCAGCCCCCGCGCCTTCCGAGTCGGCGGCGCCTCCGCCGGCCTCTCGCCGCTCTGCCACGGCACTCAGCGCCCGCACGCGACGCCTGCTCGGCTCGCTCGGCGCCGAGGACAGACCTGTCCAGCGCCCGACGCCGCATGCTTCCACGCTGCGCTGGCGACCGCCACGGGAGCATGGACAACGCTGGGATCAACCTGTGGCGATAGCGTTGTTGTGCCAAGATGGGATACGAGGGTCTTGCTGCTGTCGCACCCAGGATCGAATATCGCACTTCCTTCATCTTCAGAATTAGAATTCCTTGGGATCCATCGAACACCAAACCTGATATCTCCAGCTAGGCACAAGGATGCGGAGCGACAGACCTGAATTAGAAACCGAAAACCCTTCGACCTCAAGCGGCAAAAACAAAGCACAACTGAGAGGTTGTCACCTAACAAGAGGACGAAGCAATCTTTCACTGGCTGAGAGCGCGACGCACGCGACGCTGCCTTCACGAGCGCCCGTGCCTCAAGTCTAAGGACGAACACGCATCAGTCCGCCACCACCGCGGCCCAGCGGGAGTCGTGCAAGACAGAGAAGCTTGGGTCCGCCTCCCAGCGCTCGCTGTCAAGCACGCGCCTCACCTCGGCGTCGAGCTGGCACGGCGCCCCGCCAGCGCCCCTGACAACCTGGCCCGTCTCGCTGTCCAGCAAGAACCCAACGCACTCGAAGGCATGATGGCGCGCCAGCCCAGCACCCAGGCGCCACCGCGGCTGCTCGGAAATGCGGCCGACCCCGGCCACCGTCTCCGAGTCGAAACAGGCCTCTGCGACGGTACGGGCTCGCGTCGGAGGAGTAGGCGACTGGGATCCAGGGCCTGGTCCAGCTAGACCCCAGCATCACCGTGATGCCCAGGTAGCAGTTCAGATCCTCTCTCAATGCGGGCCACAGCACGGAGTGGGCTCGGTAACTCTGCGAAACGGAGGCGCACACAGCATGACGCGTTGACAACACCTCGCACCGAACCAGGGCCATGAAGGTCCAGCTGCCAGCACGCTACCTTATGGCGCCCCAGGAGACATCTGAGGCCCTTCCGAGCCACGGCGAACCTCTTGTCAGTGGGCCGGGTAGCGAGCCACCCCCCCTCCACGAAACAGCCGAGGGCGCGGCCCCCCTCGGGCAGCAGCTCAACCTCGTGGAACTTCAAGCGATCGTTGTCGAAATCCTTCTGCGCCTCCAACAGCGCCGCCTCAACGCGCGGAGCGCGCAGGCCGATGACGCCTGCGTTGCCCACGTGCACGCAGTGGCCGAGGGCGGCCTCCGCGTCGGCACTGCCAATCACCAGGCGCGGCCCGCGGTCGCTCAAACGCAGGCTGCTACTCAGCGACGGCCAGCGGTCCAGACGGGCAAGGTTGGCCGCCTAGGCGAAGAACGGCGACCACGAGAATCCCATAGGGAGGCTCTGGCTCACGGGACACACGAGCTCGCCCCCTGTCACAGGGCGGCCCTCCACCAGCGTCTCTCCAGTCAACGATGCAGCTGGGCGCGGCCAGCAGAAACAATGCCTGATCTCGCCCTACAACTTCATCCTGCGGAAACAGTCGCAAACGTCGCCCACGCCTAGCATGGCGCAGAGCCCCAAACACTCCCCGCCCTCCAGAACTGACATCTCGACGCGGCCAAGCCCCTCGCCCGACAGCAGATCCACGACGGGAGGAGGACGGAACAAGGCGTTGCTCCGTCTGCAGTCCACGACGAGGCGAAGGCGAGACCCATCATTCTTCCTCCAAAAAAAGGCCTTGCACACTCAAAGGTCGGCAGGTAAGGCTGACCAGGCCGATCAAGAATACGCGCCGCACGACCTTCACATAGCTCCAAAGGCGTTGGGTCGGTGCGACTACAGAGGAGCCCGTCAAGTTCTCGCATTAGCGCCGCCCCCTGGCGGCAAACTCGTCGAAGTAGAGCCTCGCCTGCGCGGCTAGCATCGAGGCCAGGCTGGGACCATCGACGACACTCTCTGGCAAGCTGACCCGCGGGTACTCGTAGGAGCCCATACTGGTTGAGCCAAGCGGAGCGCGCCCCGCCTTGCCCTTGAGACGCCCGGCGAGGGCCCCCTCCTCCGAGACGGCGCTGTCAACGCCGAACCACCGGCGGGCCGTTGACAAAAATCGCCCTGCTCCACGTCCGCCAATGTGGCATCCGTCTAAAGCTGACTGACGCGGTTATAAGTCGAATGGCCAGCTCGGCGGACGCCACCACGCAAATAGTTCAAGATCTCGCAGGCCGCACTGCCGTCGCCTAGCCACCTGCGGAGCCGGCCCGAAGCGAGGCCCTCGCACCCCTCGCAAGGCAGCTCAGCCAGCGGGGCCACATGCAGGAAGGACGACCCCTGCGGCCCCTGGTTGCCATCGGATATGCGGGGAGCGGTCGGGCGCCCGCCCCCCTCGGCCAGGCGCGCCACGTGGCCGGCGGGCGAGGCCCGCGGCCCCGCCCGCCACGCCCGCGCCCACGGCCGCCGACACGGCCCCCGTCTCCAGCATCGCCGCCTCCATCGCCACCCGGGGAGCCCACAGCCGCTGGCAGCCCGCCAGCGCGCACCGCCGCGGCAACAGCCCGCGCGCCCTCGCCAGGCGTCATGCCCGGCGCCTTGGCGCGAGCCCGCAGCGCCTCCAGCTCCCGCTCCTCCTTGCTCAGGCGACTCGCACAGCGGCGAACTGCCCCTGGCGCCAGGTCGAGCGGGTCTGAAGTCCCGGCCAGGTACTTGACCGCGCCCCCGCTAGCCTGGTCGGCCCTGCACGCGCGGGCCTCCGCGCCCTGCGGGAGCCCCCATCGCGATCACATCCAGCGACGCGAGCGCCCCCATGTTCACGTGGTCGCGGGATCCAGCCAGGTACAAACACTGGGTGAGCGTCTTCACCTCATGGTAAGCTACCAAGATCCCGGCCCCCTTGCACCACTCCTGGAAACAAAACCTTCGGGTCAACCCGACGGCGATACATCTTCAGACACACCTCCAAGCAAGCGTGCGCCCCATGGAGGCTCGCTTCGGCGATCACCTCCTGCGCGCTCTCCCCAACGTTGCGCCACTCCTTGAATCCCGACCCCGTGTCGTCGACATCGATCCAGCACGTCCTCGGGCCCCCACGAATCTCACCGCCGGCTGCGGCGGGCCCCTCCTCGCCCGACGCCACGGGCAGGGGCGCGCCGGCGACCGCCACCTCGCCGTCAGGGAAGAGATGATCGCCCAGGCGGGCGCGAGGCGGCCCGAGGCGATCCGCTGCGATGATCTTCTCATCTCGCCAGCCCTCAGGCGCCCCCGTAGTTACGCACACCATGGGGACCCACTCACCATCAAACTTGCCGAGACCATGTCGCCCGCGCAGGATCGCCACCGCCGAAATCTCGACCTGGCGGCCGAAGTCCTCGCCGCCCTCCAGCGCGGCCAGCACCCAGCAGCCCGAGGGACGGTCGCAGGGCGACGGAGGCGGCGGAGGAGCGCCATCGGTCAAGGGTAACGCGGGCTCCGTAATAGCAGCGCCCTTCGTCTGGGCCTTACTGTGATTCCCGCTCACTCGCCGACGAACGCGAGGGACCTCCACGGCCGTAGCAGCCGGCACCGCCAGGTGATGCCAAGCCCAGTCGATCCCGTCCTGCGTCCACCAGCTGGTAGCGCCAGCGCCGTTCTCCAGCACCACCTCTCCTCGTGCGCGTCTCACAAGGCTGAACACCTCGTCACGCTGCAGCTCTCGGTTGAACGCGACCACGTCTCTGACCCCAGGGGGTACCGCCGCCGCCCAGTCCATCTCGCGATCGAGTTGTAGTCCGCCAGGTCCTCCAAGTACAATTCATTCCCAGCAGTATACGCCATCAACGACGACCGATCGGCAGAGCTCGGCCACAGCAGCAGCCGTTCGTGCGTCCACCCTGGGTCCGCGCCGCACTGCACCAGCACGCGCAGACCCAGCGCGGCATCGTCCAGCGCCATCGCGCCACGTGGATCCGCGCCTCGCCGATCGGCTCGAACGCAAGCCTGGCCGAGCTCCGCCGCGAGGCCAGCTCCCAGCCAGCGCCACAGGCCACCGCCGCCGCTGCCGCCGTGCTGCCGCCGACCAACGCCACGGGCAGCTCCACCGTGGCCGCGAGCCCGTTTCCGGCCACCCGCAGCGGCTGCGGGGCGGCCGCCTCTGGCGCCAGCGGCGCCAGGAAATGGCACACGGGCGCCGGGCTGGCCGTGGTGGTCCTCGTCACCGTCGCCGACGCCGAGCTGTCCTCCAGCTCGTGTCCATGGCCGTCCCGCGGCCAAGCAGCGCCTTCAGGAGCCAGCGCGGGCCCGATCACGACGTGGGCCATGAAGCCCACCAAGGTCACCAGGGCCCCGAGAGCGCTGGCCGAGCACTGCGACTGCATACCCGCTGAAAACGTGAGCCCCAGCAGAGTCGGGATAGGGCTGCTGTTGGGCGGCTAAAAAAGACAGCAACCAAAGCAAATTCGTGCAACGCACATTCATTGTAAGAAGCCTCCCCGATCGCGAAAATGGCCCAAGGTGGCCTCCGAGATGCCTCCAAAACGGTCAAGATGGCCCCAAGAGATCCCAGCATGGCCCCAAGGTGCACCCAAGACGGCCCAAGATGGCCTCAAGATGGCATACGGCGGCCCAAAAGGTCCGCAAAGGGCCCCCAATAGGCTTCCAAGACGGTCCGAGAGGCCCCCAAGGGGGCCTCCAGGAAGACCCGAAGAGGCCAAAATCATCGATCATTCGTTTCTGTTCGGCCTTCCGACGGCTCGAGACGGCCCAAGAGCCCTTAAAGATCGCCCCAATATCGCCCAAGAGGCCTCAAAGATGGCCCCAGAACGACCCAAGAGGTCCCCAAGAGGGCCCCAAGTCAGCCCAAGAGGCCTCCATAACACCCAAGATAGCTTCCAAGACGCGCCCAATAGGGTCCCAAGTCGGCCCAGAGAAGGCCGCTTCCGATAGCTTGGCAGAGCTCTTGTAACAACGCTCGGCCACATGAACGATTCCAAAAGGCAAGGGGCAGCGGTGATTCGCTGTTGGCGTCTTCGATCCACCGCCCCCTGTTGATTGATCACAGGGGTGCTTGGCTTGGCAGAAATCTTTGAGGCTGTTGGTTCTTTTCAAGACTCACCCTGGGGGTTCGGCTCGTTGCGCCGGCCAACCGGGAAGCTCCAGGCGGGGTGGTTTGCAAGGCTGTTTCCGCTCCGGATGGCTCTGAGGCCTCCAAGAAGGCCAAGATGGCCTCCTAGCTCGCCCAAGATGGTCTCAGATGGCCTCCAAGACGGCCCAACAGAGTCCAAGATGCCTCCAAGGTTGCCCAAGAAGCCTCCAAGAGGGCTCAGGATGGCCCCAGAGGCCCCCAAGAGGCCTCGAAGACAGCCCAAGAGGCCTCCAAGAGGTCCTCCAGGAGGGCCGGAAGAGGCCAAAATCATTGATTGGTCGTAAGTTTTTGAAGGGTTTAGGCCTATACGTACGGCGCCAGATCATCATTATGCGGGACCCCATCGACCCCCGTTGTTCGGTTGACTTGCTTGTGAGCTCATTGTTTGCGGCCGCCAAGGCCTCGTCACGCCGCCCGGATCGCGCAAGGACCTAAGCGGGCGCGGAGGACGCGCGTCGTTCTTCGATATGCACACAAATACGCACAGACCTACGTATATGTATATATACACACAAGTATGTATGTGTATATGCATACATGCATGCATAAATGTATACATGCATGTCTGTATGTATGTATGTGCGCTTGTTGGTATGATTGTATGTCTATATATATATGCGTGTGTCATGTACATACATGTATGTGTAGCGATGCATGTGTACATACATACATGCATGCATGTATACATATGCATACATACATGCATACATACATACATACATACATACATACATACATACATGCATACATGCATACATACATACATATATACATACATATATGCATACATACATGCATACATACATACATACATACATACATACATACATACATGCATGCATGCATGCATGCATGCATGCATACATACATACATATATACATATATACAGTTATGCATATATACATGTGTATACAAACATTAGATAGACATACTGAGATATATGTTTATGGATGTAAGTATGTGTATATATGTGTGTCTCTCCGTTAAGGTCATGACTGTGTGTTGTCGGTGTGTGCTCTGTATACATATATGTATGCATATGTATGCATATGTATATGTATAAAGAAACAATACCTTCTCATGAATGAAACTATCGAAGACGCATACGGCGAAACACCGCCGCCCCTTGCCTTCTGGGACACGTCTATGTGGCGAAACGTCTGGGCAAAGTTTGGACACCCTACTGGACCATGCGCTCCCCCATCCATTGCGGAAACCATTCGGGGAACACGTGGGAGAAGGAAGAGGAGGACGAGGAGAGGGAGGAAAATTGAGGAGGAGGAGGAGGAGAAAGGGACATCGTGAGCGCCGCTTGGGGCACTGCTGGGGCCTCCTTTGTGTTCCCCTGGGGCCTTTTGGATTCCTGTTGGGGACCTCCTTGGGCCTGTTCAGGCCTTTGGGGGCGTCTAGGGGGCTTCTTTGGCAGTTGTAGGGCGCTCCTGACCCCCAAGACGCCGTCGGAAGGCGTCTTGGGGATCTCTTGGGGCCCTCTTGGGGTGTTTCAGGGTCGTCCTGGAGGCCTCTTGGGCCGCCTTGGGGCCCCTTGGGGGCTGATTTGGGAGGCTCTTGGGTCGTTCCTGGGCCATCTTGGAGCCCTCTTGGGCGATCTTCGTGCAATCTTGGGAGCCTCTTGGGCCGCCTTGGGTCATCGGAAGGCAGAAAAGACGCAAATGTGTAAACACACCAGACGTTCACCCTGGCGTCCACTATATGATGTCGGCAAGCCTCACTACTGAGACGCCGCCCTCGGCGCCGTCAAGTGTTGTTGAATTCAAATGTCTCCGAAGTTATGTCGGGACGAATTCGGGGACAACAGCGATTCAGAATGACGGTATGCCCATAGGCCTTCTGGGACTGCCCGAAGGTCACCCATGATTGCACCCACTACCCCTAGCGGAGCCGCGACAAGGAGCAATCACCGACTACATTATGATGTCGTTGTGCTGTGTGCGTTCGGATGTTCTCTCTCTCTCTCTCTATGTATTTTCTCTCTCTCTCTCCCTCTCTCTCTCACTCATATGTACATATGTGTATATATATATATATGAACTTTTCTCTCTCTCTCTCTCTCTTCCCTCTCTCTCTCTCTCTCTCTCTCTCTCTCTCTCTCTCTCCCTTTAGTTACACACATGCGTGTATACATCTCAAACACAAGAGGATACATACACGCGCATCTATACATACAACATTTAAACTTACATATGGATGTAGACATGCGCAACAAAGATTATGTATGTCAATGCGAATATGTACATCCAACCACCTATCTGCATATGCAAGTGTATGACATTTCGACTGTGTACATACATGTGTAGCTCATGATCATCTACAATCGCGCATGTCTACACGCGTATCTATAGATACGCATGCATCTAGACGCGCATGCTATCAATGTATACAAATACTTGTATGTAGACATCTACGGATGCACATGGGCATACAAATGCATGGAATGTGTGACCGATGCCTGTGTATGTATATAATGTAGATATAGACGTCGTGCCTAGATATACAAATATGTGTCTAGACAAATGGAAAGACATATGTGTGTATAGATATGCATATATATATATATACATACATACACACACAAAAATAAGGCTCCTCCTCAGGCGGCGCCGCGGGAACCGAAGGCCAGCACCGGGCGTGCGGCTCGGAGCCCGGCGGGCACGCGAGCGCCCTGCCTTCCGCGTCCCTCCGCACGCGCTTGCGCTGCAGCGGCTTCAGCCGCAGCGCGTCGCAGAAGCCCTCCCACTCGTCCAGCACCTCGTCGACCTCGGCCGCCCCCATCTCCGCGCACCACCCGCGGGCGGCCGCGGCGTACTCGGCGATGCAGAGCCTCTCCATCCACTCCGAGAGCCACCGCACGTCTTGGTGGTCTCCAAACCGGGTGGTGAGACACCCGGTGGTGACCCCGATTCCCCCAAAAAATGATTCTGGGTCACCACCGGGTTTGGGGACGCGCCGTCGCCACGAGGTCTTGCGTTTCCTGGGCCAGCCAGCGCTCGAAAACCATTACCCAAATCGCCCAAAACTCACCACCGGGTGTTCTCACCACCACGTCTGGGGACCACCACATGTCCTCCTCCTCCCCGTGCTCCCCCTCGGCCGGCGGGGCGCACGCCTCCGCCCGCCCGCCGCGGGCCGCCCCGCCCGCCCCGCTGGCCTCGGTGCTGGCCGCGCTGGCGTCGCGCGCGGCCGGCTCCTCGGACCCGGTGCTGGTCGAGGGCGTGAGGCCGCCTTGGCGGCGCGCACAGGGGGGTAGGGGGAGGGGGGAAGGCTCCTTAGAGGCACCCCTGCTTCTGAGAAGGCGCGGGTCTTCTCTGGAGATGTGAGGCTGGCGCCTTCTGAGAAGCAGCCTTCTTCTGAGAAGCCCTCCCCCCTCCCTCCACCCCCTTGTGCGCGCCGCCAACCGCCCTCCGAGCCGCCGGCGCGGAAGCGCCGCAGGATGCGCAGGCACAGGCCACGCGCGCCCTCCTCGTCGGCCCCGGGCGCGAGGTCGAGGAGGAAGCAGAAGAGCGGAGGTCGGCACGGGGCCTGCGCTTCCGCGCGGGCCTGCCGGGAGGAGCCGGCGTGGCGAGCAGGTGGCAGCACGGGGAGGACTCACGACCGAGCCCCATCTCTCTGCGGCACGCTTCAAGTCGGATCGGTCTGTGCTGGCCCAGCGGGCGGAAGGCTCGCAGCGCCCAGCTCTCGAGGCGCGCGGAAGCTTATGCTCCATAGGGCGTCCTCTCTTCCGGGAAGGGGAGCCAGTCCTCCACGACCTCGCCCTCCTCCTGCGCGCTGGGTTCCTCGAGCGACTGCGCAAGGTGGACGACAATGTCCTCCGCGACCTTGCCGACGCCGCGCGGGAGCTCCCGGCGCAGGGCCCACCGGAGCCGCGCGGCCTGCGCCGCCATGAGCCAGAAGCCCGCCCAGCGGCGCACGGGCAGCGGGCTTTTGGCCTGAGTGGAATGAAGGGGGAAGGAAGGAACGAAAAGGAGGGAGGAAGAGGGAGGAGGAGGAGGAGGAGGAGGAGGAGGAGGAGGAGGAGGAGGAGGAGGAGGAGGAGGAGAGAGGCAAGGATGGAAGAGGAGGAAGGAGAAAAGAGGAGTGAGACGAAAGCAGGACGACAGACTATGATGATAATCCCACCAGCCCCGTGAGCGTGAGCGGTTCAGGGAGTTTTCTCTTCGATTTTCCGTTTTTCCCCTTCCGGGAACGGTATCATCACTGTACCTTACTAATGTACGACCCTTCCCTCCCCGTCCCGACCCGTCACGACCCCGTGTCAATGACAGCTCCCCCCGCATCCCCGTCAAAACCAAAGCGAAAGGCTCATTGCGACAAGATGTGGACCGTGCGCGGACGCCCCGTAAGCACTGCGCACAGGTCTGTGCCACGGACAACGGGGGTGCCCTCATATTGCCTGCTATGCGCTATGCGCAATGCGCAACGCCAACACACCCCAAACACCCCCTTGCAAACGGAACATGCAAAGTGCACGTTGCCAGGGACGCCAGCCTGCTAGAAAGAAGCGCACAGGGACCGCTAGCGCACGCTGAACACACAATACTGGCGACCACGCCGTCAGTTTGCATCAGTTTCTGATAGGGATGGTTGGGTGGGTCGACACATTGCCCAATGAGGCGCACCTGGTGTACGTGGCGCACTTGGCACGTGCGACTCTCCGCGCGAGCGTCGCACACCTGCCTGGCGTCTGCACTGGCGGTGTCAACAGCGGCCCCTGCATATGCTGAGACTCGGGTGCTGCTTGTGTGCTGAGACGGCGGGCGGGAGTGAGCGAAACAGCCTGCGGCACTCCCGCTGGGAACTTAATCGCTGTTCCCTCTCCATAAACACCCCGTCCCCCGGGCGACCGGCAGCAAACCAGGGCCCGTGCCGACCCCCTCCGCAACATCCTTTTTGAAAAAACAATGTTGAAGATACAAAGCCCCCAAATTTGAAGCATACGCGGGCGCCCCGCGACCACATTGCAATGGATTTTTAGCGGACGGCGGGGGTGGGGGGGCACGCGTTGCCTGCTGTTCGCAAACCAACCATCCCTGTCACGAAAGAACGCTGACTGCACACTGTTTCCAAATCGACACCATGCGCGGGCGCCCCGCAAGCACTGTGCATTGGTTTTCGGCACAGACGGCGGGGGGCATGCATACTGCTTGCTGCGCGCAGGCGAACAATCCCTGTCCAACCTACAACGCCACATGCACAGTTGACGTACTTCCAAAACGAAAGCTAAATAAGGAACGGAGCGACTTCCCTGACCACGGCGAGCGTCAGCCACAAATAGGTTCCCCGACTTAGCTCCTGGGAACGGCTTGAAAATCCGAGAGCCCCATGAGCCCGAAGCGATCTTTATTCCAGCATTGTGCTGTAATGCGCTCCCGAATTTGAAGCATGCGCGGGCGCCCCGCGACCACGCTGCATCCACTTTTGATAAGGAGCGTCGGGGGTTACTCATGTGGTGGGAGGTCAGGTGGGACTGGGCAAGACGGCCTGCGCCTTGTCAGCATGAGGTGCCTTGACCCATCCCCCAAGCCCCTCCCCTGGACTCTGGACGGGGGGGTCGCGACCCACTGGCGCTTCCAAGATGGCCCATGATGGTCCCAACGGGGCCCACATAACAGAAGATGACCTACAAGATGGCCAAATAGTGCTAAACGTATCACGGGATGGTTCCCGACAGAGCCCGAGAGGCCCCAAGACCGCCGCAAGATTGCTGCATGTGGCCGCGCAGCCTCCTGAGAGAGCCAGCAAGATAACGAGATACTTCATCAACCTGCGAAAATCCGCGCGGTTTGCCTTCTCACCTTTTCGCTGTCGACGACCCTCCGAAGCCCCAAGACGGCTTCAGAAGGGCCAAAGAGAGCCCCTAGAGGAGCTCAAGAGGGTCCTAGGGCGGCTCCAACAGCGCCCAAGAGCTGTCCAAAAGCGCCCCAATAAGGGTCCAAGAAGCGAGCTTAGGGACTCTGGCGGGGCAGCGCTAACTGGTGCCGCCCTTGTAGTTGGGCGGGCGTGGACAGTACTCGGCGCACGAATTAGAATCTCCACACTTCGCACACCCCTCTTGCGCTTCCGTAGGCAGCGTCTCCTTCCTGTAAGGCGGAATTTCCCACTCAAAAAATCTGGCCACGATGGCTCTTCTCAGACGCCTGCGGCGAATCCGCCCGTCGCCCGTCGCGCCTGTTCCTTGGAAGCTCTCTCCCGGAACCTTCTGGACTGCATCCTGCGCTTTCCTCAAAGTCAGGGTAGCATCCATGTCTAGACGCGCGCTCAGGATGCTGAGTTGGCGCTGAAAGAGCGCAGCGTTCACTATGAGAATGAGAACCTTGACAGATTCCTCCAGTTTGATGAACTCATCGGCTTCAAAGTCGCTAATGAACCACACGCTGTTGCATACGCAGTCCCATCTCTCCAACGCTCCGGGTGCACTGTAGAGAAGATGGAAAGCACAACAGATCTGCTGCGTCATATTTGGTTTCATTCTCTCGCTGCATTAGGGACAGCATATCATTGAAGCCAAGAGAGCCAATCGTTCAGGACTTCTTCTGTGGACCAATAGACATCCGAGCCACGCCGAGAAGTTTCGCATGGCTTTCGAAGAACAGATTTAACGGAATTCCTACAGTCATGATGCGTGGACCTATGCGTCCTGGCTTGGGTTCTGCGGACAGCGCCCCCCTGGAATCCTCGTCGCAGGACTCCCAGCTTTGTTGAGGGCCAGCTATAGGACATGCTTTGACACCAGTTCCATCGAAGTTTGCAGTATCCAAGTCAACTGGCGCGGGGCGGCCAAGGAGAGCAACGCGCCCCGCTGCCACTCGGCGCCATCCCGAGCGAGAACTCGGCGGCGATGCCAGCAGGGCTCGCGAAGGGAGCAGCCCTCTTACCCGCGCGTCGACTCGCCAAATACGAAGCGGCGGTGGACACGCAAAACGCGCACATATGGCACCAACCACTGAGCCCGCCAACGCAAGGTCGACAGGCCGACCCCGGAGACTTCAAAGACGCTCTCTGACCAGGCCCTCACAACAACGCCGCAATTGCGGTCGCTTTCTCACGGCGGTCTGGATCGGAAAGCAGTCGGCCCTGCGCGGAGCGGCCCGCCGAGTCCGCCAGGACGCACTCCCACGCTGAATGCTCGGTCGCGCCGCCGATCCCCAGGCGCGCAGCACGCCCCGAGGATAGCTCCTCGACCGCCTGGGGAGGCTGTTCCGCGGCGAGGAGGCCCCCGAAGCGGGCGGCCCCCACGCTGCCGCGGCGCGCTGCCTGCGCGCCCAGGGCTGGGCGCGACGCCCGGGCAACGAAGATCGAAGGGCGCTCGTCCAGCGCGGGCCCGCCCCGATCGGGAACTCGAAAATCCCCGCCTCTGACGGCGACTACACCCTGGAGGGCCAGGAAGGTCGGCCCGACCGTCACGTCGCTGGACAGCCCCGTTTCTACCGAACGCAATCCAGGGCGGGAGCGCCGGCACTTCCCCAGAGAAGGAAGAAATGGTCGGGCGCGTCGTCGGCGGACCCCTAGAAGAACGACGCAAACAGTTCACCTGGCCCCACCGCCCGACCACAAAGTCGCTCGAAGCTGGCCCCAGGCCCTCCCCCCTTGGCCCGGACGCGCCGGTTCCCCTGGCAGCGCCCAGCCGCGGCGACGAGAACTGCCCCCAGAGGCCACACAGTTTGAAGCGCAGGTTCACGTTTTGATCTCTATCCGACCTGGGCCGACGCGCACACGAGGACCTCGCCAGCGCCAACCCGCTCACCTCGGGGGGGGCATGAAAAGGGGGGGCCAGAGGAGAAGAAGGAGTGAGGAGGGATGGAGGAGGCTGAGGAAAGGAAGGAAGAGGAGGAGAAGGAGCAGGCGGAGGAGAAGGAGGGGGAGGAGGAAGAGGAGGATGACGAGCAGGAGGAAGAAGGGTGGAAGGGAGAAGAAAGACGACCGTGATGATGATGATGATGATGATGATGATGATGATGATGATGATGATGATGATGATGATGAGGAGGAGGAGGAGGAGGAGGAGGAGGAAGATGAGAGAGAAGAAGGAGGAAGAGAAGGAGAACGATGGGGAAATAGCAGACGAAGGAAGAAGAGAAGGAGGAGAAGGAGGAGAAGGAGGAGGAAGAAGACGAGGAGCAGGAGTACGAACAGCTTTGTTTGGGTTCCAGCCCTGGTAGCAGACCGATTTCAAACATGTAGATACTTGCAACGAGCGCCCCTGATGAGTTTCGTCCAAGTGCTGTGCCGAACAGACCTGATCTCATCTGCAGCTCGAGCTACATCAAGAAAGGCATCGTCATCTCTAAAAAAATAGAATACGAATAGCCGTGGTTCCAACTCTGGTAGCAGACCGAGTTCGGGCATCTAGATACTTGAGACTAACGCGTATGATGATGTTCTCTCGATTGCTGTACCAAAGAGCTCTGTAGCTCATCTGCAGCTCGCGCTATCTCAACAAAGGCACCATCGTCTCTTAAAAAATTAGCAGCGCACAAATGTTATGTAATCCATGCTCCGCTAGACTCTAGATTGCGGCCGCAAACACCAAAACCCTCCGAAAACCCTCAAACGCCATCCCCAGCAAACCCTCCAAAAACCATTCGCGGACGATCGAAAATCCCCCACCTCAAAGAACGTGGGTTCCACTTGAAGTAACATGTGCGTTGGAGAAGGGAAGGGCGGAAAGGGGCCCACGGGGGGAGATGCTTCTAGAGGGCGGAGGGGGGGGGCCAAAGGAAGGGGAGCGGGCATCGGGGATATCCAAAGGGGGGACGTGAAGGAACGGAGGGCGCGCGGGGAAAGAGGGGGGCGCGGAGGGGGCGAGAGAGGGAGGAGTAGAGAAGGATACAGGGAGAGAGAGGGATCTAAATTGAGGGAAAGACGAGGAGAAGGTAGAGGGGAT